ACGACCTTGCCTAATCAGCCAGGCCAACAATTCCATCTAACAACCCCCCTTTCAGAGACATAGACAGGTATGGGGCATTGCAGGCTAACAAAGAAGCCAAACGACCCCCATTCCAAAGGGGGGGACCCGTTCATCCGTTTCTATTTGCATGTTTTCTAAACTAAAACCAGGCTTTGTTGGGCTGCTGGATAAAACCTGGAACTAAACGCTATTTCTGACATTTTGGAATGAAAAATCTTCCTGGATGGAAGAGAAACGTCTTCAAACTGGGAAACAAAGTCCAGTGGATTGTTTAAAACTCTTTTTGGAACTCTTATCAATATTCAGATGACCCAGTGGAGGCCTTGCGTCAAAACAAAGCTCCCCTGGCCCTGGAGAACGATGCCTGGGTCACTAATCATCCCACTAGGAATCCAACACCAACACCCAGCTGCAGCTTGCTCTGGGTATGGAAGGATTTTTTTAGGAAAAGTGAGAAAATGTTTTCCTTTGATTTAATCCTGTTTTTAAGAAAAAAAAATGTAATCTGGATAGAAATATATCTAGAATATATCCTGTTATAAAAGTATTACACTGCACATTTTGAAGGTTTCTGCATATTTCGCACCTGATGTGCGCTCAGCGCCTCCACAGCGGCGGCTAGAGTTAAAACATCAGCTGGACGCAGAGAGTCAACCAATCAGAGAAGCTGATCCTGGGGCTGTTTGGGAGACAGACGCCACATGCAAGCTGTGGTCTGTGCTGCAGAGCTGTCTGCATCTAAAGTTCACCACAGTTAAACTCCACTGCTTATAAAGAGATAAGAGAAGGTTTTTTTTATTGGGCTCTAAACATTATTATGATTTATCATTGTTATTATTAATCTACTGCAATATTATTTTATTGAACTATGGTGAAAAACTTTTAATCAAGACCTACTTAGCTAAAAAAGTTAAACCCTGCTGATTAAAAATATTTGATTTCATGTTCCTGTTGTTTTAGTTTTTAGCACAAACCTAAAAAATGATTTATATATAAATAAATATTATAACAGAGCATCCCGAAGCCCCGAGCTTTCAGCATCCGGGGGTTCTGGCAGCAATGGACGCCTTTCTGACACTTAAAATGCATTTAGTGAGAATACAGCACAACCTTAGCTTAAATAAAACACAATGATTCACAAAGAAAGCGTTCCTTCAGAATAAAAGTCTGATTTTAAAGCAAACTGAATGACTTGTTTTACCTGAGATTTTTTTTTTAATATAAAGAAATGCTCCCAGCTACATAAATCCCTGGTCACAGAACAAAAGATGGTTTGGAGTTTTGTTTGGTGGGTTAATCGATAAAAAGAACAGAAAAAATGAAAATCAAATAGAGTAAATCAGAGAGAGATGAATTTAATCCAAAGAAAGACTCTAAGTTTACCGTTGGTGTTGATCTGGAAGATACTGGAGGAGGCTTCCTGAAACACGTCCTGTAGCTCTGAGGGGCTGACCTGCGTGGCTGTGGAGAAAAAGCAGAGAGGAACATCAGCAGTCAGGTTTAGAGCCGTCTGCTCGCTCCTTCATGGGACCAAACTCACCGCTGATTAATGAGACGAGGAAGATTTCTGTACAACATCAATTATTCACCGATTTCACACTTTATTATGTGAGGAAAAGGAACAGAGCAGCAGCCTTACAATGATGACAACAACAAAAAAATGTGCTCAGAGTTCAGGAGACGGAATCCCAGCAAACATTTTAGAGATCTTGAGTTTTCACCTTCATCATATCAAAAACAATCATGGTTACCATGGTGATCCTTATTGGTCTTATGTATAAGCTAGGCTAATGCTAACATCTGACATTTATTTTTATCTTCTTTCTGTCTGTGTTTGTGTTGGAAAAGCAGAGTTTGGTCATGTGACAGAGATGCTGATGCAGCCCAGGATCGTGTTAGGTTAGGATAGGTTAGTGCTCTACTCACTAAATATAGATATAATATTTAATAGATGCTGGTTATTAACCTTAACAGATATCAGATATGGATCCATATGATCATATTGGTGCCTCCATAGCAGACAGATCCAACAGCGATCCAGTTCTTAATGTTTTATAATCGTCAAAAAACAAAACATAGAGACACGAAGCTGGGCTGTTTAACTTGTTAAATATTTTAGAATCTTTATGTGAAAAAGCAAAAAAAAACACTGTGGAGATGAATACTGTGCCGGTTAACTTGTTAAATGATGAGGTCTGCATTACTCTGCATACAGAAGTTTCCTCCTGTTCTTTTAGGCGACATTGTTGGTAAATTATTGCTTTATAGATAATCTGAAGAACATTAAATATTGAACTGGACCAGCAGCTCTAACGCAGCGTCTCATTGCACTAAAAGCCTGATTCACAGTTGGCTGTGGTGATTGTTTTAGAGGTGGAAGAGTTCTTCTGCCCATCAGAATCAAACCACAGCAACACCATGATGTTTAGTTTGGATTAGTTTATACTTTTTGTAGGTTTTCTTCTGCGGATGAACATGATTAATTGTCATTCTACCAAAGAGTCGACCTAAAGTCAACAGGAGGCTGATGGCCGTGATACAGGTTCATTCTCTCACTCATAAGCAGAAATGTTCTAGTTGTTTAAGAGTTCTGTGTTCAGACAAACACGTCACCAAGTGCTTCTCAAGTTAACGACGGTTAAATGCAACGAAAGGCCAAAAGTAGCTGACATCTAATGAGGCAAGAGAGCTACGATGGGCTGAACAGGGTCAGCATGATGGTGGAGTTGGTCCCAGTGGTCCCAGTGGTTCAGGAGGTTGGCTGTGCTGCTTGTTCAGAGCAAAGTGGGGTTTGAGGTTCTGGGAGATCAGGCAGACTGCAGAGGTCAGGAGAGTGGAGACTTTTTCTGGATGTCGAGAGTTTAGGGAACCCAAACATTAACCTTCATCTCCCTAATGGGATCCAAAAGGGAAACGGTACATGGCCTATGTGAGCCCGAAGAATCAAGCAACACCTGAGGCTGGCAGGTAAGACGTTAGAGAGCGGGCAGTGGACCAGAGACTAGATGAAAGACTGGACCAGAGACTGGACCAAAGACTGGACCAAAGACTGGACCAAAGATTGGACCAAAGACTGGACCAAAGACTGGACCAAAGAT